TTCAAACATGTTTTGTTGAATATGACAAAGGTGAATTTTTTATTGAATTTTTTTCGTATTTTTCTGTACCATTTTATAGAAAGACGACCTCCATTTGTTGAATATGGACTCGCCCATTCGCTCTGAGTGGAACGCCTGCTTATAGGAACGGTCGTCTGAAATGGATCGCAAGGCGTAGTATCTGAATCACGATATTCTCTATTACTGTATCATTAATCCAATCAACTGAATTACGCAAAAATGACATTCATTTTAACATTTATATTTAACAAAATTATCCAAAAATATCTTAAAATACTCAGGAGATAATTTATTTAATAAAATGGCTATTGGCTTCAAGCATGTCTTCCAGACGACTTCGGAATCTCTTGCAATTCTTCTGGATGTTTTCCTTGTTTAAGTTGGTGAAAGCTGCCATAATCATTGCCTTAAAGCCTTGCAGTAAAATTAATACCCGATTTTTATTTTAATTGTGATCCCTGCTTGAGGGACCGTGGCAAATAAAACTTCCTGTTGACCTTTTTCTAATCGAATTGTTTCACAGGGGTCAGCTGGTTGGACCTACTCTCTATTTTGAGGATGAGTTGGTTTTCCACCGCGGTTTTCCTTTCCTGAGACGACACTATGTTCCCCACCTAGCAAGTTCCATATTTTGTGAATGTTGAGTTTCTTTGTCCTAGACTGGTTGATAAACAAGGCTTGAAGCTATCTAATACTATTGCGTAAAAAAGAATAAATATTAAATAAAATTTCAGAGTTTACGCGGAGAAGTTAGAAGTTAGAGTTGTAGTAGGATTATAACGGATGAACCGGCGAATGATGAGGGCTACGCATGATGGACATACTACAGAAGGCGCTGCCCGAAATTATAATCGAGTTAGCGGCAGTCCGTTGCATTTTTATAACTGGATTCTACATGTCATTCCATATGTGACGCAGAGGAACGTTATGAAATCAAGTGTGTTGTCACTTCCTGTCAAGTTGACGTCCACCTTAAATTCACGACATCAGCACTTTTTTTCTACTTTGATTTACTTTCACCTTCAGTCACTTTGGAATCTTTTGCAACTCTTCTGGGTGGTTTCCTTGTTTAAGTTGGTGAATTCTGCCATAATCCTTGCCTTCAGTTGATCTTTGGTGTTACAAGAAATTTTGTTTGACATCTCTCAACTGCTCTCCACAAAAATAATCAAGGGGGTTGCAATCTGGGGAGTTAGGTGGCCAGATGCAAGGAGTGACGTGGTCACAGAAATTGTCTAGGTTCTCCTGCTTGTGTGGCATGTTGCAGAGTCCTTTTACCAAACATTAATCTTCCAGCAGCCACCGTCTTGACCCAGGGCAGCACTACCTCCTCAAAGCACTTGATATAGGTCTACGTGTTGAGTCCGAGCTGTAGTAAGATGAATAGAGGCATAACGACGCCATCACTAGTTATCACTCCAAACGCCTTCGTAATCACCATTAGACTCCTGCAACTCTTTCCGAATCCTCTGCACTGTCCTCAAATTGACAGCACTCTGAAATCTTCGTATTTCATCTTCCGGCGCGAATGCCAAGTAGTACAGCATGTCGTTACCAAATCTCTGGCGGAATGAATTATGCAATGGTACTCTTTTCGTTTCACAAACGGTGTCCACTATACTGTACGGTCGAAAAAAATAACGCGCGTGCGCGAAATTAAAAATGTAAGATTGTGACAATTAGCCCATCGCACCCCGTGTGTGTGTGTGTGTGTGTGTGTGTGTGTGTGTGTGTGTGTGTGTGTGTGTGTGTATATATATATATATATTGTTATATGTTATTTATATAGAAACAATTATTTAAGTAAATGCTCTTTTTATAATAAACAGTATTAACAACATTTATTCGGACGTTTAGGACGGTAAATGTTGTTAATACTGTTGATTATAAACAGAGCATTTTCTTAAATATTTGTGTCTATATAAATAACGTATAACAATAAAAATATATTAAAATAATTATCGGAATTTTTCCATGTCGTGGTGTGTGACGTCATATATATATATATATATATATATATATATATATATATATATTTTTTTTTATTCCGCATTATCTTTATTACTATACACATTATTTGTATTTGGCAGACGTGTTTGTTTTGTATCCCTGTTTTGTTTTGTTTTTTTGGCATCACTTTTAGCTCAGGGAAATCACTTCTTAAGACAAAGTGGGTTTCTACAAGTTTGGCCGCGGAGCCAGGCTGTGAGGTCAAATGTCTGAAGGAGAAAAAGATATTTCCTTAACAGGCAATTCTAATTTCCTCTCAATCTGTTTCTAACTACGCTATGTTGTGTATGTTTAGGCAGGAATTTTTCATTAATGCATGTTTTATTAAATAATATAGACAAGTTTTGTCTACTCATTTTAAGTAAGTTCCTTTCATATCGTCTGATAAGCTTAATAACATTATCATTGAAAGATTAAAGGAAATCACCATATTGATACATGTTTAAATCCAATCTAAGCTTTCGGCTTACACAAGCCATTATCAAAGATGATAATTTCAATAAATCATACAACACACGGACGAAACAACAATGATAGTCCGCCCTTGCTGCATGAATAATTTCCAAGTAACGACAAACTCGGATATACGAGACGCGGAAGAGAAAATCGCGTCACAGCTCGTGACGTCACACATGACGACACGAGAGTGAAAAACGAGAAGTATTAAGTATGGGAAGCCGTTGGTATAAAGCAATGGCTTCTGTTATCAATTATAGTCATTTAAGAATATTTGTGGAGATTTCATAGTTTATTTTCTTCAGGTTGGGTTTTACCAGACAATATGAAAGGAACTTACTTAAAATAAATAGACAAAACTTGTCTATATTATTTAATGAAACATGCATTAATATATATATATATATATATATATATATATATATATATATATATATATATATGTCTTTTTTTTCTTTCTCATTTTCAACTTCTCTATCTCTTTTTTTTCTCTTCGCATGTCATCATTCTCCCATTCATCCCCCACTTCCTGCCTCTCTCTCTCTCTTTCTCCTTTGCACTTTCCATTTACCTCCCCTTCTTTAACACTTTTCCCCTCTTTCGCTCGCTTTCTAATTAATTGTCATTCAATGCTTTGCTGAGGAAACCGGGAGGTGGCCATCAGGAAAATAGCTTTGAAATTTTTCTTGAGGCGAAGAATTTTGAATAGATTTTCAGTTTTCTTTTAAATATATCTGGATATGATGTTTAATCAATTTTGAATTTCCAATAATTGTGACGTAGAATAATTGAGACGTAGAACTGACAATCATGATACGATATCACCACCAACCCCATTGCTTTACCCACAGAAATAAATATATCTCTGTCCCATTACAGTTGTTATATTTAGTAACTACATTATATACGCAAAAGTAGCAATAATGAAACAAAGTTAGTAAACCATTCGCCTTTGCATTGAGTATTGCTGCCATATATGGTCTGGAACCCCTTCTGTTTGCCTCGGGGTTCTTGAAAATTAGCAGAAATCCTACCTAACAAGTTTACATGGTTGGTAGAATAAAGATAAGGTGTGATATAAAAAAGACAAACCATTATTTAGCGCTACAAACGATAGAAAATTGTGGAGTGCCATGAAATTCAAACAATCTTCGTCCACCGCAAGGAAAGTTGGCTCCCTGTGCCGCCCCGGGAAATTTTTTATCGATCCTTCAAATCTACAAATCAGCCATTCGCCCTTGCATGGAGTATTGCCGCCATATATTACCTGGAGCCCCTTCTGTTTGCCTCGGGGTTCTTGATAAAATCCAGAGACGGATATGCAATGTAATTGGCCCTGATCCGGCATCTCGTCAGCAGTCACTCTCTCACAGACGTTCCGTCGCCTTCCTCTGTCTTTTTTACAAATACTTTCATGGTAATTGCTCCGAAGAGCTGCTTTCGCTGGTTCCCAGACTTCATGAATTCAAGCGCCCTACGAGGCTGGCATCCCGCTCTCACGCTTTCATTATCGAAACTGTTAAATGTAGCCGTCTCTTCTGCTCCAATAGGTTCATATCTCGCACCTCTCGCTTGTGGAACTCCCTTCCCTTTTCCTGTTTCCCTGAGAGCTATAATCTACAAATATTCAAATGTAATGTCAACCGACATCTCCAGTTGCCTTGATCTATCCACTGTCCTTCTCCTCATACTTTTCCTCATCCTTTCCTCTATCACTACTATCTGCCCTTGCACCAAATCCTCTGTAACCCCTTGCGTGCTAGTGGCTTCCCTCCTTGTTTGGGGGTTGAATGCTTAAAAAAAATTACTTAACGTCGGTGATCGTAGGAGAGCTGGTGTTTCACAGTGATGTGGTCGTAAGACTAGAGACAACGAAGATGAGATTCTACAGAAGGATACTGAGAATAATACGGACAAGGCATGGGAGCAACGATGAATTTTTAATGAATTACACTACATATATAGGGGCACGTGGCAGAATAGCTAGAACATTCCAATTCTGACCCGGGTTCGAATCGCAACATGGGCGAAAGGAGTGAAGCGTGCAACCCCTTTGGAAAATGCATTAAGACCATATCACGGGTTTACCCAAGCCTTGTGAGTTAAATTGGGTAGACAGAACCCTTGGGACCGTTGTTAGCTGTGCTAGCCCGAAGTCACAAGTCATCGTGTCCGAGTGCTTGAGCATGCTGGCCTTGTTCAAATTGTTGATCACGCTGGGATAACACGCAATATCCCAGAAACTGTAACTAAGGTCTGCTCAGAATAGTTGCTGTATAAACCTCATGTGAGCGCTGTGTGTGTTGATTAGACACAAATGCGCCTGAGCAAGCGTCTGCAATAGGGATTGGCTAGCCACCATAGTAGATGGGTATCCTCGAATACGAGTGGTCAGCTATATATATATATATATATATATATATATATATATATATATATATATATATGTGTGTGTGTGTGTGTGCGTGTATATATATATATATATATATATATATATATATACACATCGAATCTTACATCACTTGATATTCTCACGTGGTCACCCATCTCGGTAATGACCAGGTTCGACGTTGCTTAACGTCTGTGATCGTACGGGTACCGGTGTTTCACTGCGATGTGTCATAAGACTAGAGACAACAGAAACGGGGTTCTACAGAAGGATGTTACAGAGAGGGCATGGGAGCAAAACTGTTGTTTTATTCCATTACACCACATGCATATCTATGCTTACAGCACCTGGAATTCTCAAACAGTCACTCATCTCGGTAATCACCAGACTCGTACGAGAACCCGTGTTTCAACGTGATATTGACGTAAGACATTTATACGGATCGAACATCCAGATTTACACCACAAAATGGACACCAATTTTGGTATGACCTGTCTCGACGTTGCTTAACTTTGGTGAGCGTATCTGAGCCTAGAGAGTGTAAAGAAAACTGTATCTACTTTTTTCGCGATCTTTCAGTTCAGTCATGCAGTTATGTGCCATTCGTGATAAACGCTTAGGCGATACTATATCTTTCGATACATGACTGACGATGCAGATATTTTCCCGCGGTAGTTGCTATTTCTTTCTGCGATTGACCAACTGCCATCCGAGACTATAGAAGCCGGTATGTCCTGCTATTTATTCATACCTGGCGAGAGAAGAGGATTCATACCTTTCCCAAGGGTATTAGCACGTAAGTGAATGTAATGGATTCGGCTGGAATTCGAACTCGGCTCTCCGATTCCTCAATCCGAGCCACTATCCATTTTCAGGTAATGATCGAATCAGCTTTTTAGCGCCCCCCCCCTGTATGAACTACAGATGAAAATTCTCCAATTGCATTGTTAAATTATTCAGCTTAAAAACTTTAACAATTAACAATTTGTGTTCGTCTTGTCCGGGTTTTCGCACGTTAAACGAGGGAAAAATGGCTCTCCCAGTCCCAGACCTACGCTTGTTATTGACTAATAACTACCCGCTATCGTTCATATGCAAATAGTCAGCGCCACCTACTCGCATGTCTTCTCTTAACATCCCCTTTTGGAAGAGGACGTAACTCCTAGTGTTTATAGCAACACATCGGAGTCTCTGATCAGATTGACCCGATTCTCTGTTTCGCAAACGTAAGTATAATTTATGCGTGTTATTGCCTCTTATTTCTTCCACTTCTTTACTTCTGATTTTATTTTATTTTGTTTTATTTTACTTCCAATATCTTTAGTTAGGTTCGAACACTGGCCTCGAGTATCACAGTCTTTACTAAAATGAAACCACCAAAATCTTTTGATGAATTTCTCCTGATGGCTAATAAGTCGTTTCTTGCCAAGTGAAACCTTATTAAGAAACTTTTCAAAATATCTGTAAATGTCAGGCTTGAATAAAAGAAGTGGTTGGAATATGTAGGGTGTTGCAAATGGTTCTTTAAATCAAATATTTTCGTAAAACCTGAGGGTTGGCTGAATTAGGTTAGAATTTAGATTATTTGAATGAAAGAACGGTAAAAATATGAAGGGAACAGATTAACACTGGGATGACCAAGGTGTCGTTTTCGACACGTTCAAATTTTCAACAAATGGAATAACTAGTTTTTGTCCGATGCTGAGGCTTATGGACAATTATTGAATTTATCAAAGATGCTTAACAGACTTAATTCTTTAAAAAAAAAATATTCAGTGGAATAGCTGATATTTGAGGTTTTACCTTGAATGGCCGAGGTATCGGTTTTGACACCTAGGCTATTTATAGGGTAAATGCATTGAAATATTTCTCACAAGCAATAATAGTTGTGTTTATGTCCCCTATCTATCTATTTATCTATCTACCTATACACACACATATATATATATATATATATATATATATATATATATATATATATATATATATATAATCACTTTCTTTAAGTATGAGGTATACTAATATTTGTGAATTTCTTTTCAGATTGTTATTCCTGACTTGAATATTGAATATATTAAAGATGGCTGCTTCACGGCGTAATGTAAATAAAGATTTCAAAGGAGCTGGCCATCCTTGTGTTAATAACAGTATAAAGAAGAAGCATAGTTTGATCTAAGGTAATAGCAGTGGGTAACCGTCGTAGAACCAGACAGAGAGGAACCGACGCAATTATGACTAAGCGTATAGGCGGAAATTCCTCGGTTTTTCTGTTTACTTTCTTCTTCTTTTTCTCCCCTTTAATTTCTTCATTATTCCTATCTTCCTTTTTCTCAATGAAATCAAACGTCGTCTCTGATATGTTTCTTCCGTTTTAACACGCGATCAAAAAAGAAGAGTTCATTATTTCTTAGGTATTGGCAGGGAGTTTCCTTCTTTCTCGCTGATGTCAAACGGTGTCTCTGATATGTCTTTTCCTTGTTTCCTCGCGATCAAAAAGGAAGAGTCCATTATTTCTGAGGTATTGCCAGGGAGTTTCTTTCCTTCTCGCTGATATCAAGCGGTGTCTCTGTTATATCATTTTCTGTCTTTCCCCATGACCAAAACGGAAGAGTCCATTATTTCTGAGGTATTGGCAGGGCGAACGGCAGGGCAAACTAAGGAAGGGAGAAGTACGCAGATTTATAATAAGCTAATACTCATGTATCATAATAGATTTTCCATTTAGTGTATGAATTATGCACTAAAAAACAACAATATTTAATTAATATACACAAAGGAAAAAGTATAAAATAATATAAAATAGTATTTTTTGCCTTGTATCCCGTCACGAAAAAGACAATATTGGCTCACCACTGCTTCCTGTCATTTATCGCTAAGCACCATCCATACCTGGTCCGCCATTTTATCCATGCTTTGAATACTGTTGCCAGATCTGTTGCGGTTCTCTTGGTGTATATTTAGTGATTCTTGATAATATACAAAGACGAATCTGCAATTTTATTGGTTCTAACCTGGCATTTCGGCTTCAATCACTTTCCCACCACTGCAATGTAGCTTCCCTGTGCCTTTTCTATAAATACTTCCATGGTAGTTGTTCGGATGAGCTCTTCGTTATGGTACCTAGACTTTATGCATTATGAGCGGAAATTCTCGTCGATTTATAATTGAATTATGCAGAAGTAATTGTAAGTTCTATGCTAACAGTTCCTTCCCTCGCGCTTTTTGTTTATGGAACTCTCTACGGTTTTCATCCTTTCCAGCCAGCATTGATGTTCAGAAATTTAAATGCAATGTCAATCGTTATCTACTGTCTTCCTGATTACTCTTCTATTGTTCTCGCTTACTTCTTCCTTTTGAAAATCTGTTCCAGCCCCATGCTTTCCGGCCATATTTGATCTTCAATAATTTAAATCTAATGTCAATCGTTATCTACTGTCTTCTTGATCACTCTTATATTGTTCTTGCTCATTTCTCCCTTGTGGAACTCTCTTCCGGTTCCATGGTTTCCGGCTAGCTTTGATCTTCAAGAATGTAAATGCAATGTCTATCGTTATTTACTGTCTTCCTGATTACAAGTCTACTATTTATGTTGCTACTTAATTTTTCCCTTTTTTTCTAGTTCTTCCACAATCAGTAACTCCCTTTGGCTTTATTGCCTTACGGGGGGTGATATGAAAAATTACGTTAAATAATTTCTTTTTTTCTTTCGATGTTTTCCTGAGCTCGATATGTCTTTTGAGTTTAAAATTCTCTAAATCCACGTTCAAAACGTACCCCGGAAATTTCAGCTCTTTCTGATTTAAATTGTATGCGACATCCGAGTTTCTCTGTTTCCTTAAAATCTTCTCGTTGCTTAGAGTATACATTACTTCTGTCCATAGAGAGGCCTTATAATCCCATTCTGAACACGGTATACATTATGTCTGTCCATAGAGAGGCCTTATAATCCCATCCTGACCACTGTATGCATTACGTCTGTCCATAGAGAGGTCTTATTGATCCCATTCTGTCCACGGTATACATTACGTCTGTCCATAGAGAGGCCTTATTATGATCCCATTCCTGACCATAGAGGTATACATTACGTATACATTACGTCTCTCCATAGAGAGGTCTTATGATCCCATTCTGCCCACGGTATACATTACGTCTGTCCATAGAGAGGCCTTATGATCCCATCCTGACCACGGCATCCATTACGTCTGCCCATAGAGATGCCTTATAATCCCATCCTGACCACGGTATACATTACGTCTGTCCATAGAGAGGCCTTATGATCCCATCCTGACCAGGGTATACATTACGTCTGTCCATAGAGAGGCTTTATAATCCCATCCTGACCACGGTATACATTACGTCTGTCCATAGAGAGGCCTTACAATCCCATCCTGCACACGGTATACATTACGTCTGTCCATAGAGAGGCCTTATAATCCTATCCTGACCACGGTATACATTACGTCTGTCCATAGAGAGGCCTTATAATCCCATTCTGACCACGGTATACATTACGTCTGTCCGTAGAGAGGCCTTATAATCCCATCCTGACCATGGTATACATTACGTCTGTCCATAGAGGGGTCTTAAAATCCCATCCTGACCACGGTATACAATTACGTCTGTCCATAGAGAGACCTTATAATCCCATTCTGACCACGGTATACATTACGTCTGTCCATAGAGAGGCCTTATAATCCAATTCTGTCCACGGTATACATTACGTCTGTCCATAGAGAGGCCTTGCGATCTCATCACGTTGAAATACTGGTCTCCATTCCACCCCCGAAGTTAAGCAACGTCGAGCCTAGATGGGTGAACGTTTTGCAAAACCAGGTGCTGTAAGATTTAATGTGTGGGTGGTGTAAATGATAATGTCTTGGAATTTTTAATCGGAGATCCGGGTTCTTATCCCAGTTGAGTTTTTTAAATTCACTTGCGCTCAAATACCCTTGAGAAAGGCATGAATTCACGACTATGTGTTAATTAGTAAGATTTATATCACTAACACCATTATTATCTAAAATTTTGCGTACACAACATTTAGATTTCTAAATTAAATAACCTATAGAGGCTGATATGCCGCTAAGCAAAAATACGTAACCAACCTATTTATAGAACCGCGCCACTCCACAACTTCATCGATAAAAATGTCTAGCATTTAGTGCTATATAAAAAAATGACAAAAAAGGATTGATCAGCTATGAAATATCAATCCTTTTTTGT